CATGCCCAAAAATTAGGTGTGATTGGAAAGGCATTCTTGTGTTCTTGGACATAAACGAGACCCCCTTACAAAAACTTTAAAAAATCTGCAATCCACACTTTCTGACCCAAAATCTCAATTCAAACACGTTTTTGTAGACTTTTCGAAGGGCGTCATGTTATAAAAAATTCATTAAATGTGTAATCCCTACTTTCTGAACAAAAATCGAGATGAAATCCAATTTTCGACTTTTTTCTTAAACTTTCATAACAAGTTTAAAAAAAACACTTACGTCAACTGCAAGTCGGTAAACATCCATCATGGCCAGCACAACATCGTTGCTGTACGGGTCAGAAACTATGGACAAAGATCCAAAAAGGATTCCATGAGTGAACCCGAACACATTAAATAAAGAAGAAACCTCACATTTCTTTGTTGGATCGATCTTGTCCGTGTAGATGTAGTCCAGAACAAACCTGAAAGCCACTGGGTCAGCATCCGGCAATTGCACCACCATCTGGGAACAATGAATTTCCCTTTAAAAAATAATTCCAGCTTGACCAGCGATTCAAATAGAAGAAACTCGATTCATATCCGCTTCAGCATACCTCAAAAATTCAACTTCATTGCAAGATAATTCTTCCAAATATCTCAACAAGCAAAAAATGTCCCATCAAAGTGAAGAATTCCGAAGATGTCTCTTGAAAAACAACTCAACAAATGGTTTCTTTTTTTCATGAATTCAAGATTGCATTCCTTGTTGCGTAGATGTCACCTGAATCTGATTTACACACCGTACCGCTTAAGCTAGGCTAACTTTTCCTAAGGGAAATTGGCTTTATCTAGCTTGCGATTCAGGCGACACCTGCCCAACACTTCATAAACTTGGGCCCGACGTTCTCCTGTCAATTCATGGATCGGATGCGAGTTTTAAAATAAAACACAGTCGAGGGAAAATTGAATTATGCAATATTTCATGATGAATCCGGGGAAACACTTAAGACAAGGCACAGAACGAATAAAACTCACTGGAACGAGATTTTTGCAGTTCTTCGTTTGACGCAATTTCTGCTTCAAAAATTCGCAACGGGCAGCAATCATACAGGCGTGGGCTTTAATTTCAACTTTTTCCGATCCCACAACGAAATCCACATCCGTGATTTGTCCGCTGTCCAAAAGCCTTCCGAAGTCTTCGTGCAACGTGCATTTCGGGTAACTAGAGAACTTGATTTCGTAAGATACGGAGACTTATAAAAAAATATGTGACAACATATCTGGCGAAAAATAAAAACCACAGAGTCGAAAAAATTCCTCTAACAAGGAAATTCTTGCAATATGAAAATCGAAAAAATGCATTCTCCAAATGTAATGAAACAACCACCAATTGGTGAATGGTTAAAGCAAAGGTTTATTGCAACAAAATTTTTACTTCGAATAAAAAAGGGACATTTAATGAGCTTTCGATTTCCAAGGTAAAAATTCACGGGTATCCTTCCATCATGAATTTTGAACAGAACAATAATTCGAGAACGATTAAAGCTTAAAAAAAATACCTACGGTTAAAAAACATTTTGCGGCTTTTTCACGGATATTTCTTCTTTGACCGAAATAAAATTCAAGTAATGCAAAAATATCTTTTTGCATTTGTTGTTAAATTTTTCAAGACTTTAAGACAACCAAAAATCGTAGGTACAGCATTACTGAAACATTTTTGAATGAAATAA